GAGGAAAACTGCACCCTTCTACAGGAGCACTGCTTCAACAGAACCACATCCATCATCCAGGAGGACTGCAGCCACCATTTATACGGACTGCTACCAACACCCTGACTGACAGGGTGTCAGGTGGTATTCTGACTCTGTCGGTGATTTTTCTTTTGTATTATTTCATGTATTTTATTTTTTGTCCTTTTTCCTATTAAATTGTATTACTGACTTGGAATCTCTCACTGGTTTTCCTTTCAAACTAGCACACTCAGTCAAGCCTTACACGAGTATGTGGACTCCTGGCAGGATTCATCTTAGAATCACAGAGTGGTTTGTATTGGAAGAGACCTTAAAGATCCTCTAGCTCCAGCCCCCTGCCATGGACAGGGAACCTTCCCCTAGACCTCCTGGCTGTCTCCAGGTGTCTCTACATAGGGAATGCACCAGTGACAGCAGCAGAGTCCTGGATACAATACATTTTACACTAGAGGAAAGGCAAAGGCAGTCAGGAATTAAGACTCCAAAATGACCAACTTTTCCTCCTAACTGTAAGCACATCTTGGGATGGGAAGCTCAAGTGCAGCCACCTGAACTGTAAATGGTTACATTTAATTAAAACTTCCCAGCTAAGCTTATTTTTCTTTCTGAGTAATAAATGTTTCATTATTGATAAAACTGGACAAGCTTCAGTACAAAAATATTCACGTATGATGACAGATATTACAAATATTTAGGCTTTTAATGTAGCTATACAGCTTTTTAAAAACATGTCCCTTTTTGCATCTTTTCTTTTTTTGTACTAACCTTACGCTTAGTTTAAACTGATACAAAATTCATTAAATATGTATTTCAATAATTTTTCTCAGGCTTCATGTCAGTAGCTATCACTACTGGTAATCTTATCAAAAATAACGCATAATATCAATAATATCCATATAATTCTAAGTATTTGAAAACTGTCACTTCTATTTAACCAGAAGAACATGTCTTCAGATTTTATATGGATGGCTGCCTCTCCCCACTGAGACAAACAGCAAAACATGAAAACCGAGCATAAGCAGAGTAAACCAAAATCAGCACTCTAGGAAGTTTAGCTGATAGTGACTTTAATATTATTTCTAGCGCCAGGATTTCTGAATTATGGGAACTGTGATGTTCTCACAGCAGAGAGAAGGCTATTTTTAGCATACACACATGAAATGAGAGTGGCATACTTCACAGGCAATTTGTAGATTGCATCATTACAGGTACTTACCTAGGCTTGATCTCGTGTTAGATCGCTCTATTATCGCATGCTTACTGGGATTGTTTAATACTGAGCGTTTGGCAAGCGAGATGTCTGCTGTGACTCGTGTAATTGATATACTGAAAAATAAATACAGCAAAATAGTACTAAACGTTATTTATCTTTCAGGGGTGTGGCGGGGGGAATTATTGTTTAACACTAGAAGATGGCTAAGACTACAGCAAAGTAAGTTCTCAGCAGCACAGTATGCTTCATCCAATGTGAACAGAGAAAAAACTTTAATACTGCTAACTAAGTAACTTAATACTGCTACAATAACTACTGATAAGTCATCCTCCTACACATGCCTGGGGAGAGGGGAGGCAGGAGGAGGTCAAGGATTGTTGCAGAAGATGGGACTCCTCTGGGATCTCCAGGTCTGGTGAGGATCTGACATTTCACTAGTATCCCCAGCATAACCATGCTGGTTTCTCCTGTCTCTGACTTTTTGAAGGGCACTGAATGACACCCTGGCTTACTTTAGCCATACCTGTAAGACATGTAGGGATATGCAGAATTAAATGGTAAAGGTAAGGCTTATCAGGGAAATGAGTCCAGCAATATAACTCCGTTTTTTTTGTTTGTTTTGGTTTGGGATTTTTTGGCTTTCTTACTGTTCAGCTTACTAGCATGTGTTTTTCTAACAGAGTGCAAGAGCTACCTCTAATTTTCCAGAAAGATTCATGCTAGCAATATGCTAGACACCTAAAAATAGGAACTGTAACTTGGAGAAGCACATACTTGAAAAGTCTAGGTTGACTATCTGGCAGGTTGTTTTGTGTTTATGAGAAAAGACGAGCCATGAAAGAAGTTATTTCAGTGACTTTCAGTTGTTGCACTGACCTGCTACATAACTTCCTGCATATTCTTCTTCGTAGGAAAAGTTACTTTGTTTTGTTTTGCTTTACATGGTCAAAACACACCCTTAAGTTCCTTTTCAAACTCTCTGGTCTAATCAGGTTTAGAGGTCACATTTTTCCGTGTTGAGAGTCAAATCAGACTGATGAAATTCCCTTGTTCTTCCTTGTAGGATTTTACTTGCAATTTAAAAGAGGAAATGGATTTGCTAAGTGGGAGGGCTCCTCTCTAGCAAGCACAGTCAGATGCTGTTTGCTCTTCTGAAATGTAATCCAATAGGCCATTTCCCAATAAACTCAACATGTGTATGCACTTATCTAAAAAATGCCACAGAGCCAGAAGTTAATATGAAAAAAAAGAATTATGTGCACAATACTGATTAGTAATATAGTTTTGGAGATCTAGGCGTGATTTAACTTAAGCTAAAAGCATAACCAAAGATTGTGATTTCTGGCACAGCTGCTCACAGATAATGCCATTTGTCTTAAAATTAAATCAAACATGTTTATTGGGATACGTATTGCTTTTCTTTATTTGCTAATGGAAGGACATTACAAACTTTTACAGCTTTTTGGTTTTTTGTGTTGATTTCGATTTTTTTCCTGCCAGTCTTTCTTCCTACAGGCAATAGAAATTTTTTACCTTCTTAAATGAAATAATGGTATACTGAACAACGCTAGATTTATCAGTCTATCTGTGAAAAATATTATTTTTCATTTTAAGACTTTTTACCATGTTTCTGAGGACATTTTCATGTCTTTGAGAAATATCATATCAGGAAGACCAAGTCTGCTCTCAAAACAAAGGGTGTGTACGTTCATATTGCGAAACAATTGCAACGAGAGCAAGGACAGCAGTGTGGCAGCTCAGAGCAGCAGCAAGAATCTGAGAATCTCTGGTGCAAATTTGTTTAGGAACTTAAGTAAAGATTCCAATTGCTACTGAAGTTTGGGATGCTTCAAATCGGCTGCTATAGACATAAATTTTATTTGGAGTATTTGTGGATTCATCCTGCCACAGTTGGATCTACACCTGAAAATCTCACATGCTCTAAAATACTTAAAGACAAAGATGCAATAATATTCTTCTTGCAACAAATGTTTTGTTAGCTTCCAGTTCTGAAGGTATGTTATCTAGGGTTTGACAATATAAAGAGGGACCACAAAAGTGATTAGGTATTACATCATTGTTCTGACTGAGAAAATCCACCAGCTTAAACTGCCCGGTATTTTAAAGAACTGAAGTTTTTGACAAAATACCTCAAGCTCCCTCTTCAAAGTTTTGACAGCAGCAGGACACATAGAATAGTGTTATGGATCTGTCCACTTCCAAACTAAATAGAACATTCCTTGAAGTTACAGATATTATTATAAGATCTTCCTGTTTTCACGATTTTTCCACCCAATTAGGACAACCCATTAGGACACATTAATCTGGAGCCCGACCCAATACCAATAAAATCATGTCTGGAGAATGCATCTGATGTCTACTCCATGGGTCTGTGATGTTGAAGTTATAGACCCTGGCACTGCTTTTAGGGACAGACTATGATTTGATATCTGGACCACAGTAATGTCTGGAGGTTCAAACACAAATCCCATTGTGTTACAGCCTAGTGTACTGCAACCACTCGGATCAGAACCCAGCTAGTCCAGCTGGTCTGCTGCCAAGGGTGACCATATTTCAAGCAAGGTGGGGGACTGCCCCACCCTTTCAACCCAGTCCTTTTAAAACTTCCCACTATAGAGCCCAGAACCACTGTCAAACCAAGCTCCTATCTTGAGGGATCAAAAGTTTGACAATCCCATACACCAGATAGTCTGAATCCCATATCACTCTTTCCAAGTTGGATGCCAAGTAAGGAAGTAGAGCTGAGGAGGAACCATGGCTCTTGTCACTTTGCTCAAAACCTGAGAAGCATTGATGAGCTATCACTTGAAAAATACTTAAAATAACTTTTTAATCTGTAGATAACCATCTAGCAATTTGGAGTGTGAATGTCACAGTCATCAAGAAGAAGACATCATTTTTTCCACTCTCAACAAATATATGCCCCAGAACACTTCCCACTGCAGTACAGCCTCTGCATGCTCTGTCAAGGAAACTTCCAATGCACATTAGCTAGTCTGCTGATCAAGGAATTAGCTGTCATTCCTAATTTTGTCCAATGTTATTATTTCTTAAAAATCTGGCAGAACCCAAATGGAACCTCAAGTATATTTGCATTGCAAAGTACTTACCGCCCTTCGAATCTATGTTTTAAAAAATCAAATAATGCTTTTTGCATCATATCTGTTACCTAGAAGGAAAAAACCAACAAATTAATAATCACATAGGGAATTAATAATACTTAATGCTAATAATATTATATAATAAAGCTGACAGTAAATCTTGTATCTGAACAATTGGATTGGAATGGAATTTATTCTTAATCTCAATTTTGACATGAAGTAAAATACAAATAAGCAGCTATTCAGTAGGAGTAAAAACTGTCTGATGTTTGCCTATGCCATAAACTATCAAATACAAATGAAGCACAATATTTTGTCAAAAATGAAACCATTTACAACAATCAATTACCTCATATCCCTTCAGAGAAGGCCCCACTAAAACTACTGGTCGCATAGAAGGCACTACATCATAGGGAGGGATGTGCTCTGTCTGCAAAACAGAAATAGTTTTCAGCATCACAGCACCTAGAGAAAGTGTTATACACTCTTTACAGTATTAGGAACTCTGAATTTCCAGTAATGTCACAGGAATCTCAGATTCAGTAACTTTTCCCAGAAACAGGTAGCACAAGATAAGGATATAAGAGTTTCAGGGATTTATTTTGAAAAAACTTTTCTTTGACTTTACGGTTTCCTACTGTTTTTATATTTACTCTGGATAGTTAAAAACTCTTTTTCTGGGTCGTGCACATTTCCTACTGCATAATTCCTAACGGGTAAATGGAAAAGTTTATCTCCAACAACTAACGAATTGAAATGGTTAATTCTACAGCTGTGACATCTGTTTTCAACAGAAATTTTATATGTGAAATTATGAAGGAGAAACATTTTTAAAAAGGAGATGAGAAAAGCATAATGCAGCTTTTTTTTTTAATGTTCAGATCTGCCCACGGCTTGAACAAACATTGTGACATCACTGTAAATTCCCATGGCAGCACTCAGTCTGACGTCCACATTTGCACCCACAATTCAATGACAAATTAAATCAAAATAATGACTGATCAAGTTAGTATTTCTAGAAAATTATCATAAGCAGAGCTTGGGATAGCATTTCTTCCACTTTGGGAAGTTCTTGTCACCACACAAGAATGGATTCTGGTAGTACCATATTTACCAAAATACTAACTGATGTATCATGCACAATTTCTAAAAAAGTATTCTAACATACAAAGATAAAAAGATTGCCTCCTTTTAAGGATTGCAAAAATTTTATATGGTTATCACAATGCTATATAAAAAAATTAAACTGTTGAGTTCGGTATTTTTTATTCTTTTGCAAGTGGCTGTTTAATGTATATCACCATGAATGGGGTCTTATCAGAAAGAGGTTTTCGTTCATAAGGAAGGTTTTGGTTTGTCTTGGGGAAAAAAAGATTGAACTCCAAACCCAGAAATGTGTGGGTGTTACAGAAAAAGAAATGCCAGATCTATTTTTCAAATGCTTACATAGTACAAATACATCAGTCAAGATCACAGAATACAGACATTGTTCATTGTTCCAGAACTCAATGTATCCCAAGGTTTTTCGCAATAACATTAAAATAAGTATATACATTCCAAAACACAAACCCACAAAGACAGACATTTATACAGTGACAGCACACAATGCTACACAAGCAGCAGTCTAAAGCAGTCTAAAACACAGAAAACATTTTTGTGAATGTCCCTCAATGTAATTTATTTTTTATTACCTGTAGTTTCACAAGATAATTAATAACATGAGAATGAATACCAGTGCCCAAGGCATCATAAGCATGTGAGATGAATTAATTTTTCACAGTACAGAATCTGACTCAACATGTTTCAAAGCAAACCCCTGCAATTAGGCTGGGCCTGTATCCAAAAGCAGTCCTCCACTGTTCTCGCTAACATTTTTAATAATCTGATAAGCGTATTTGAGACAGATTCGAAGAAAAATTCATTACAGTTGTGCAAGTGCTTTTAGCATGATGCAACAGATCTTTGTCTTAATGTGGCTGACTTAACCAAAGGCACTCATGCTAGAAGTTAACCAGCTATTTGACAATCAGGGCAAGCACAGAAATTACCTTATTTGATGGAATATGGGGTATTTTAAAAATCTGTTCTGTTGCAATGGGCATTTTTTCTCAAATCTTTACAGCTTGAAATAATGAAGCTGTCAGCAGAAAATTGAGTAGAAGTTATCTAATGGAAGCATTAAAGTTCTTCAATTTAGCACTAGAGAATCTAATACTTTTGAGACTGGCACTGAACTACACATCTTTCATCGCAGATTCAAATTCAAATATGAACTCAGAATAAAAGTTGGCGGACTTGACCACATGGCTTTTACTCAATAGTTTGACTATCTAGATTACTTTGGGATGGCCATCCAGTATGTACTCTAAATTTCACTATTACAAACCCCACTAATACTAGTAATGATTCTGATACAGAAGAAAAGAGGCACCACAGAGTGAAAGAAAGATGTGGGACTAACCCTCATCCAGGTCTAAGGTGGTTCATCTAGAAGCTGCATCTTTGAAAGATGCTTATGCAGATAGCATCCAATACATGTCAACACATACTCTTATAATTTTTATCCAATCAAAAATATGATTAAGTAAGAAATTACTCAGAAGGAAGAACCCGCTGTTGATTTCCACACCAGGCTTAACAGACCAAACTGAAGCCAATAGTAGTGACTTTGGAAATGAGAAGGATTCAATACTATGTTAAAGAGTTCAAAAAAAGAGAGACAGAAACAAAGATCTATTTATTAAACACGAGAGCATCCACAGCAGGAACAACAATGTCACTTGTCACTGTTTAAGCACTATAACAGTCTGTTATTACCTGTATATTTAAGTGAGTGGTTAAAACCAAATGAATGAGAGCTAGGAAGACTAAAGATTTTAAAACAAAAAGGTCAAAATGTGGTATTTCACTACACACTTTGGCTGCTACCTAATGTCTTGCTAATTTATTCCAGCAAAGGTCCTAGAAACGAATTGCAGTTTTTTGCAACAGGATGCCAATTGCATAACTCTGTAGTTATCTGGGTTATCTGTGGAGAGACATCAGCTCTCCTGGGAACCACCAGTACCATTTCCAATAGCTCAGATACTAAAAAAGTCTCGCTGATGGATGGCAAGAACATTTGGCTGATAATTTATACATGACAACAGGAAAAACTTAAATTGTCAAAGTAAGTCTGAGGTTTTCCACTGGTCTTGTGCACTTGCAGACTTTGCACCTAGTGAATTAGAAGCTTGCGTACAGACTAAATTAAAGATACAACGTATTTGACAATTTGTTTCCTAAGTCCAACTGGGTATCTGATAGATTCCAATGATGATTTCAATAGACTGAGTAATAAAGAAAAAAACAAAAAAAACCTTGAGAAAGATATAGAAAGAATATACATGCACTAGAGAGGTGCATTACAATGCTAGGAATAATTTTCTCAAACATTTAGAAGGCCTCCTAAGTGTGTCCTGTTATTCCATCAAAAAGGATAAGTAAGTAGCAGAGTTGCACAGACACACTGAACTTTTGCCTGTTTTCCTGTAATGAATCCACTATCAGCTCAACACATCTCTTCATCCTTAATTCTAGAATAGCTGCATTGTTCATCTGGAGCCATAATGCTAATGATGCCAGTGGCAGGATAAACACAGGGGATGTCGATATAAACTTACCGATTTCTGCTTCTGCTTAGCTACAGCAGCATGGAAAAGAAACAAAGAACAACAAAGCATGCATGTTATTGGCTGGTCAGAGGACGCAGACAGTTAACAGGACTAGAAATGCGACGCAGTGCAGGTGAGCAGGTGGACAGATGGGAGCTTGGAAGTTGGTGTTACCTTCTTAAAGAAGGGCATTCTTTTCTCTTTGGAGTGGGGTGATGTTACACTGTTTGCACTGGGTTTGGGGGAGCGATGGTTTGCTGGAATATCATTTTCTTCTGCATCTAAGCCAGTGGCATCTATGTCTACAGCTATATACAGACAAACAATTCAGAATTATCAGATGACAGGGAAAGTAAAGATAGGTTAAAAAGGAAATTACAGGTAAAGAGAAATAAAACTGTCCAGGGAAATAAATAAATAAATAAATAAATAAATAAATAAATAAATTTTGTAAAAAAATTAAAAGTCAACCATGAGAAAAAAACACAATAAAACAAAGGGGAAAAATTTAAAGGTGCAGTACATTAGGATTAGAAGACAGAAGGCAATCTGTAACAGCTACTGTAACATTTACGAAATAGACCAATGGCCAAATTTGTTCTTGTTACGCTAGTGTAAATCCAAAGCATTCACTGGAATAGATAAGACTTCCACCAATGTAAACAACAGAAATTGGCCAACAACACCTGGATTATTTTATAGCAATGAGCACTAATTGAAAATGGGTATCATCAATTGAAATTTGAAATGTCACTACTGTGTCTATGGGAGATGAAGAAGTAGAAGAAAAACTTTATATGGCAAAATCAGCCAGATATTGATACAATGTTATCTACATTTATCTCAGGATGGACTACAACTGGCATTTTTAATGTCTTTAAATAAAAATGCATCACACTCATAAGATACATTTATTAGAAATAATTAAACACAGATCTACTAATAGTGAAAACTACAAAGAATGGATAGCAGAAGAAAGGAAATTTATCCCAGCTTAGCTCAGAGATATGGATCCTATGTAAAGAGTGAAGATGTAGGCAGGGTGAAATGGAAGTGAATACAATAAACTGTTGATGGAACTGTTGTTCAGTCTACCAAAAGAATACATAAAAAAAAATGCTTATACCATAACCACAAATTATTTACCCTTTTTAGCAAGTAAGTAAGAACAGTTTCAACAGGAATCCTCACAGACTCAGTAATAAATACACTTTCAAAATGCAAAGCCATATTATTCTGAATGCTGAGTAGAACAGATACCTGCCAACTACATCTAAAATAAAACAAAACCAAACAAAATCTTTCTTGTTTACAACAATCGATCCTGATCTTAGGTAGTGATTTAAACTTGTCTTCACAAAGCCAAGTAGATACACAAAAGTGAACCACAAACTTGTACAATATTACCCTTGTGTAAAGATCTTACCCACCTCTGCACTCCCTCTGGTAACACACGCATATCTTGCCATGCCATTATGTCAAACTGAGCCTAACCCTAAATTGATCTGTAAGCAGAATCATTTATATTGACTTTATCCAAACCCTTAATTAATCATTGTAAATTATTATGAAACAATCTTAGTGACCTGATTTCATCTGCTTCATGAGTGGGCTATCAACTAATATAGTGGCATGGGCTATTAAATTATGTAACAAATAAATATTTCTGCCAAGCCTACGTGCAGCTACTGATGTAAGAGACACTTGGGGCAGTGATCTCTTTTGTTTGCATGAAGGACATTCTCCTGTTTGAATTATCTACAGATCTAATGTCTTGATACCTGACATTCCCTGAGTTACTGTGCCTTTGAGTCTGCCCTTCCCAGGAAAAACCCAGTGAGCAGATCCACATCCTGTTTCTACAATCCTGCTCCTAAAAACAGCCACAGAAATCATGTAACATTTCCTTCTAGCAACACTGTTCCTTCATCCTCTTCATAAGTATAAAAAGAACATATTATCTTTTCTTGAATATAGGCCAGCACAGATGCTGTAAATCACTCACAATAAGACACATTAAAACTCCTTTGGTTCTATGTTCAATCAATATTATCAGTAAAGAAAAATCAGTTACCTTAAGCTTTTCCTGTAAGAAAGAAATGCAGAATTTGATCAGCTAGTTACCAATATCTCCTTTTTTTCCATTTGCAGTCTTCACACTATGGAACATCTCCTGTGACAGTTCTTTTGCTGTTAACTATCTTTAGTTCACTGGGGTTTTTTCAATCATTTTCAGTATTATTCTTACCCGGTTTGGTGGCCCAACAGGATTATATGGATGGTTTGCTGTATCAATATTGATTATTTAAATGGATATGAGCCTCTCATTTGTTTTTCACCGGTTCTTCATCTCGTTTGTGAGTTTGTTTTGTTTTGGTCTTTCTGTGGCATGATTTTATATTGAAAATCCCATCCCCGACTCAAAGTAAGTTAGTATTCTTCAACTAAATACTTGACAAATTTGTAATTGATTATACTTTCAAAGAGAGGAGGTGTGGGAATAATAATTGAATTATGCTTTGAAATCATTTGAATTCGTGTTTTAGTCACAAACTATGGCTCTTTTCACCTTTCTTAGGATGTCTTAAGCAAAAAATTATTGTAGACTCAAAATCTTGGAGTCACAGAATAAGCTAACATACGCTATCCATATATATTTTCCAAATCTTCACAGTAACTGAATAAACTTCAACAGATTTCTTTCTTTCTCCAAAAAAACATGTTTCTTGAAAGACAGTGTCTGAAGAAACAATTCAATGTAATGAAAATTAGAGGTTGGGTAGTATCAGTCAGCTGGTAATCTAGGTGATATCTGTGCTCTTAATTCTGAATTCTGTGCAACATTCTTGAAATATATTTACTGATCTTCAAGTGGTTTTTTGATAGCAAATAATATTACAGCATTTCAGATGCTCTAACTATAAAATTAAAACATACGTCCAAGGACAATTTTACTACAAAAATGCAGTTGTTGAAAAAGTTGGCCTGAACAGTAAACACATCAGTTTGAAGCCATCAGAAAATAAAAGATTAAGGTGTGTACTACACACTTGTTACAGACCTACATTAGTAAACTGATACAAAAAATATTTTCAAAATAAAAGAGAAGTTAAACTGAGGCGGAATTTTTATAAACAAACTGCAATTGCAATAAACTTGGTTGTTACTAACAAATCCATGGTTTCATAAGACAGATATATTCTACAATTGATTGAACAAAATGAAGCCACTAACAAAACATGATTTAATTCTTCTGTCTCCCTTTTAAATGACCAAGTAAATACTTTAAAATCTTCAGGCTCATTTAAAGATGCCTGCTCTGTAGACCAGACTCCATATAAATGAATATGATTGGAAGATCCGTGTCTTTGCCCTAGTATACAAGGCACCAGCAACATTAATAAATATTTTCTGTTTTCAGGTATTTACAATGTACATGAGAAGATAAAACATCCAGCAACACAGCAGCTGAATTCAATAGAAATTTTTTTGGTGATCTTCTGCTGTGCTTTTTTGTGGAGCTAATGCAAACATCCTCCATGAACTTGCCATGTATTTGCTTCATATCACTTGAATCAAACCTAATTAAAGTTAAATTTGTATGTTGATGCTCTAAGTACAAAAGAGTATCTTTGAAAAATTTGTCAAAGGCAAAAAATATCCAGTATCTTAGAATTACGTGAAGTGCATCCTCATGATCAGAATTGTTAAACTAAATGTTCCTGATGTTTGAAAATAATGCCTTTCTTGATGCTACTGCAGAAACCTCTCAGGAACTTCTGTTTTTATTGCTGCTTTTTCTCCTGTACAAGAAAGTATTTATTGTTCAGTAAGAGTGCTTAGACCAGAAGACTATTATGTCTTTGCTACAAAATTCTGTGGTAAAAGCAAAGAGGGAATTTTGTGCATTAACAGCCCTGAATTATCAGGGGACTATCATTGCCCTAATAATTATCCAGCAATTATCATTGCCTCAACTTGCTGGCATTGACTCCATTGCTTAAAAGAACCCCAAACCAGCCTTATCTGGTAACATATCACTCGGGCTTTACCTATGAAGAATGGGGAATAAGAAGATTTACACATGAATTTTAACAGATTAAGTTCATGAGTCTCTTTACCAAAGGGTTCACAACCTACTCACCAGATGATGGAGGCGTCGATTTTCTGGAACTAGGAACGATGTCACCCAAACTGGATGAAGAGTTTCCTCCTGATTTACTGGAGTAAAGTAATAAATTAGCTTGGAGTTCTGTAGCTTTCTCAATATTTAATCTAGTTTATTTATTATCTACCTTCTAAATGAGGTGCTAGCTGTGAGACAAACAGTGTTTCTGGCAGTGGTATAAAATATACATGTCACACAAAATGTGTGTACATTCTGAGACCTGAGGAACTCAACCACATCAATCATACTTCCTATATTGCTATGCAATTCATTCTGCTGCTCTCACTTCCTCATGATCTTAATATAATTCAGCAATTAATATGGCTACTGGTATATATTAATTAATATTACTACCCATTAGTAAGAGTAATTCTTAAGCTAATGAGCATAACTGTTTCCTTTAGCTGTTACTGATAAATTCCTAATGAAAATGAGACTGTGTTGATCATCTTTTCAATTTAATTAACATACAAATTATTTTGCATTCTCAATACAATATTGCACTTAAGAAAAAAAGTCTCTCAAACAAAGTTAAAGCAGTCTAAGGTTTTATCAAGTTCTGCTTTGTGAAAACCTATCCAAGTTGTGAAAATGAAACAACAGTTCTACTCTTTTTTATTTCAGTTACTATAATGACAAAAGCTCTGGAAAGAATGTGAGAAAGGTTATTTCACTCTTCAAGTAATTCATGTGATAGTACTAGTTTCCAGTTTCTCTATCTTGAAATATTAATAAGCACTAAGTTAATGCATTTCTGGTGTAAGACAATGTTATCTTCAGTGAGAATTTCTGGAGAATGGATTTGGAAAGGAACTGAATCACTGGGACAGATCTGGCTGTCCCAGAAGTGTCGCTGGAGGAATAAGGAATCCAGCATCCTTCTGCTGAGGACAGCATGCTCATGGGAAAGGCATTTTCACAGCTGGTGAATGCAGCTGAGCACTGCACGATTACAGTGTCCTACTCTAGACATGCTCTACAAACACTGCTGCCCTTCCTATGGAGATGGGAAAGCATTTCTGGCTTCCCAAATGGTTCCTAGCTCAATTCCAGGTCCTTCCCACTCAAATACACTGGGAATATTTGTTTCCTTTATACTCAAAGGGAAACATGTGACATTTGCCTTCACAGGTGTTACTAGAAAACTACTAAGATTTCTACAGTAAAGGTGACATTATTCTATCTTGTAGTATTGTTCAGAATATCTAGAAACAATCCTTTTTCCTATGCAATGATGGCTGCAGTCAGACATAACAAATGACTTAGCATGAAACTTCCATCATAAAATGTAGTGCTCTTAAAAGCTACATTTGTAGGCAATGAATTTGACAAGATATTTGTTCCCTACTAGCTAACTAACAGGCACTGGCTTTGGCTTGCAAGTAAATTCATCTTAACTTTTTCTGTAATTTCTATAATGAGCTTTAAGTGCGTTTAGAAATGGCAAGATCAAAACAAGTTAAAAATGCTACAGAACTTAGAGTAATCAATTTTAAGTCAAAAACTTACTAGAACATATTAAATGTATTTACTGCATTGTATATTAGCAATTATTTTATGAAAAAAGAAGGAAACTATTTCAGTTATAAGCCACTACAGATCACGAATCTAAATGTCTACTATTTCTCCCAAATAGCAATGACACTAAGATGTTTATTAATTAACAATATAATGTATAAAATAATGTTATACATTATATAATAAATGATATAATTAATTATATATTAATTCCTTAATCAATTAAAAATGTTTGTAGCTGCCATTAACAATAATTAAGCATATATATGACTGATACACAGCATCAACTTCCAAGTTGTATCACAGCCAAAGCTATTATTAATGATTTATTGTTATTACCTGGAGTAGAATTTTCCTTGTTTTGCCTTTTGTTCATGCTGCAGCCTCATGTTTTCTAGTTTGACTGGGCTTGGTATGAATCCTATTTCACAGCCTTCTTTTACCAATCGTCCTATCCACCAGTCATTATTAAATTTCTACAGATAAAAAAAAAAAAAAAGGAAAAAAATAACACACTAAGAAATTGCTGTATATAACTTTGTTATTAGCTTTAATTTGCAGCTATGCTATTTTTTGTAATTCTTCCCTGCAGTTAATCACTGTGCTATGTTATTCTGGCAATGAAGAATTGTGGTAATATTCAGAAATACATTAAAATAATTATTCCTTTCAAATTATTAAAATCCACAGTCCTTAGGTGGAAACCTTCCTGCAAAGTCTTCATGTTTCTCCCTGGTTTTTATTTCTACCCATTTCACCATCTTTATTTTTTCCTGCTTCAGTTTTCTCCCCTCATACATGAGAACTGCTTGTGCTCTCCCTTCATGGTTCTCCTTGGTGGGCACCAGAGACTTAGAATCTACTCTCACCTACTGCTACAATTTTTATAGCTCTGTAATAATCTATTTTTCTTATTCCATTTTGTTCAGTTCTCTATTTAAATTAAAAAATACTACTTCTCAAATTCCCCCACTTCTTACTAAAATCTTCTGAAATACAACTGAATTTGGCTTCTTATATATACTCTACCTCAGATAGCTCATGTGATCTCCATCTTAAACTTACTATGATAGATCCACAAGGAATGGATATCTTTGCATAACTAAAAAAACCTAACAATTACACAAGTCCACCAGATAGCCCAAATAACTGCATTTCAGCTGTGTTAAACATGAGATATTGACTATTCTAATTCAACACCTTTATTCATACACCCCCCCCACCATATGTGGGGGAGGTTGGTTGTTTTGCAGAGATCTATACAACAGAACTATTTGCTTCTTCCATTCTTATTTATTCAGCATTTTTGAAGGAGAATAGGTCACTCAGGTATGGGCCCCACACACAATACCTGTAGTGTTCCATGGGAATAACCACCATCAAATAAGGATATTGGGTAATTTGGAATATATATGACACTTTAAGAGAACACTTGAATATGAAGAAAGTAGCTTTCTTGAATCTGAAGCTATTAATGTAGATATTATAGTGGATATTCAATTATACAGTAAGAAGCTTTAAAAAGTGTATAGTTAGGAATAAAACATGTAAAATGTGTGGGCTCCCGTTAAAAGAAATTAATTTTACCATCATTGGTAGATCACTGATACACAAGCTAAATTGCAGTATTATCTTTCACTCTGGCAACTATAGAAATCTTGTGATGCTTGAGACCAACTGTAAAATATTCCAGCTAACAAAAAATAGAGATTAAAATAAACACACTTTTAAGCTCATAAAACATAAGGAGATCTAAAATATTCATCCAATGGGATGCATTTATGACTAAGAATACCAGCATTTCATAGGGAGCTACTCTGGAATAGCAGTTTCTCAAAGCTGTATTAGACTAAAATATATTATTAAAATTATAACCTTTCATTACAAATGGCTAACCAAATCATTAACTTGGTAAAAGGAAGAGATAGACAATTAATAACCACCATTACATTAAAATCTGAACAGTCACTATTTTTGTCCTACAGTACAATAGATTACCATGCAACAATATTAATTTTATTAGAAGCAATAGAAATCCTAAATCCATAGAAATTTCTTCTTCATAAAGAAATAAAAGCATGTGGAATGCACTTCTGTAAGGTCTCAAAGATAAATTCTGTGTCAGTATATGAAGAGTAAAAGATACTTTTTTAAGAGTGAATAATACCACACATACTATTTTATATTTTTAATTTTTTTTTAAATCTTAGGTGTCCAGCTCTCAGGGTGCTGGCTAGGGTGAGTGATTCTCTATAATTCACCTGTTTTTGGAGTGCCAAGGGAAATACAAAAATTAATTAAACACAGAACAAAATGATGACCACACATTAAAGCCTCAGAAGATTCGTAAGTTACTATGATGCAGCAGTTTCTTCTTGCAGGAAGGAATCCATCATTCTTATGTGTACTGAGTTTTAATGAATGTAACCTAATAATGATGATAAATTTCCCACATACTCAATCACTGCAGTACTTTTCCTCATTGTCCATGTACATTTTGAACGCAGGTTTTTCTTGTTTGAGCCCTCTCAGCAGCACAAATCGGTGAACAGCCCTTGCAGACAAGAACAGGACAGCACTGGTCCAGTATGGCATCATTATGTAGGCAGAAGCTACTGGACATTAACTGAGCTTTCTTTATTTCAAGCAACAAGTTAGGTATAAAATATATAAAACACTGCATTTTATGGTCTAATGTGTTTTTTTTCTTTAATCTGCACAAATAATTAAAGTTTGGACAATTCAGTTCCCCCAGCATTAACTGTAGGGAGCACCAAAAGTACTACAGGAGCAATACCTGGTGGGATACAGAGCCCTGGAGGACAAGCAGGGCAAGACACAGAAGATGGAGGGGAAGGACACGGCTGTGCAGGGAAGGGCTGGGCCTGGAGCACCCTCTGAAGAAGCCTGAACCCACCCAGACACAGCAGCTGCTGCCAAATGCAGGGCAAGAGTCTAAGTCCAAGTTTGATTCCTTGTGGATTCCTTCCCATCTTGCCATTCCAGAGGTGCAGCTGGCCTGGTCCCAGGGTCCCTTCCCAACACATCTCTGGACTAGCATCAGCAGACAACCACCTCTCCTTGGCAGCTTACAGAGTAAACCAGGTGCTTTTAGAGGCAATCTGCACTGAATGCTTATTCTATTACACCTGGGGTTGCAAGAACATTTTAATATATTATTCCACCCCTCAGTGTTACATGCAGCCACAGACATTGTAAGAACTCAGCTGAGCTAAGCTTCCTTTCAAGGCATTTTGGAGATAGGGAAAAGTTCAGATTTTCCAGATTTTCTCCTACGTATATATACATCTGAGACTAAGTTCTGTTGTGAAAAAAAAATGCATTAACTTTTGACAGAAAACTGCTAACCCTGTGTGTCTGGTTTATATGGAAACAGGGGAAACACTTGATGTAAAGTCTGAGATTACCACTTCATTTGATGTGCAGATGGAATAGATGACTACACAAAACCTAACCAAACTGAGCTGTATTTTCCAGTGCTTCAAGACTCACTCAGAAGACTGATGGTTTTCTCTTGCCAGGACTCTGTGCCTGCTCATCTCTTCTTTTGTCACAAGGCACAGCAGAGCAATTCTTTTACACTATCATCAGGCAGAAAGCATATTCCTTCACCATATACAGTTTGATTCAAAATTATTCTCCTTTAGTGTCTTTAATATATATGAAAAATTACGATCATTAGCCAAGACTGTTTCTTGTGTTTCTTTAGTCTCTGTCCACCTGCATTTCTAGCTCTGTTTTAGGAATGTTTTGTTCTTCCCCAAAGCACCTGCGCCAGCAGAATCATTGTGCCTCATCAATCATAACTACTGAGGGATTGTTTGATAGTCTAAAATGAGGCAAAGATGTAATTTCAAATGTATGGCTAGGTTGCTCTCAACCTTAAACTAACTTTCTATTCCTTTTCCTAAAAATTTCAATATCCAGATGGGCCATTTTGAGACAAACCACAATGGAATATGACCAAAAGCTAGGAAATTTTTTAAAATTAGTAAGTCATTCAAAAGGGAGCACAGGCTATAGAAGCTGCATGTGAAAGTTACCAAGTTACTTGTTTGGGAGTGTCTTGCAAGGAGCAGAGAAAGAAAATTACTTTAGGTGTTTGAAACAGTATAAATTTAAAATTGTCAAAATCAAACTACAGGAAAAGAAAACCAATGCAGCAAATGCACAGCTCATTTATTCACAGCTGAAATTATCCTGAAAGATCATTCCAGTTCTCCAGCATGTAACTGCTAACTAAATATTGTCTGTGCCAGGGAAGTAGCTTCAGGTAAAAAAACAGGAGGCCTGAGGATTTTGGGGTTAATTGAGATGCAGTCACACAAATAAAAGAGAAGCAACCCCTGGCTGCTGAATCACAACAAACCCTCACAGTACCAGATTAGAAAAATCCCAGAAATATTTCATCTTTGAATAGTCAGACATAGGCATTTAAACCTATAAATAAGTGATTTTTACTAGAGAAGAAAAGTACTTGCTTTCTGAACTTCATTAATTTGATTGCAAGAAATTTGTGCCATTGCTTCTACAAGAATAGCATTTAAAAGAACATTCAATTCCTTATACACTGTTAGCTTCTTTAACATTTGTAAAGTGCTTTGGCAATGTGAAGTGTTATCAACATTGCAAAATAGCAGCACTATTACTCAAGTATTGCCTTAAAGAGTGATTCACTCACTCCTCTGGTTTTACTTACTTCTTTAACATGAAGAAAATCTTTAGCCTCAAATGAGATGGCCATGCCTGGGACTGGAACATCATCTTCATGAGCTGCACTGTACCCAACATTTGTCCGAACTGCAAATGCAACAGGTTTTGACTGCAAAATAAAAGATGAACATCATGAAGATTTCCCTTGCAAACACATACATATGTCCAAACAGATGAGAGATTATTTCAGTATGTTATGCTCTTAAAATCATAAAAATTAAAAAGAACCTCAATGCATCCATGAAAAACATAATGACAACTATTTTTTACTGACATTATTTACTAATATTAACATATTTCATAGCATAAAAATTTTTGGTACAGATTTTGAGGTAAGTCAAATCAGTAATTAGTAATCACAATCCACTTGGCAATCCATGCAATATTGTCTGCTTGCAGTTCTGCTGCAAGTTCTGTGTTTGGGGGCTGCCGTAAAAGGTAGGTTTTCAAGAACTACAAAACCTAAGCTCCACAGACCATGGGGCTGCAAAAGGCATTGCAAGAGGAGCATGGCACTGCACCAACGTTGCTCCTTCCACACCATTCTTGACTGGGCACCCACGTGGTCATCTCAGGATCCTTCTAAGGCTGCTATAAGTGCAGCCCTGGCAGTCTCAGCCTTCGAGAACTGTTTAGGGAAATTGCAAATTTGGAGAAGAGGTGCCAGCAGTTGCCAGTGACCCCTAAGCAAGTCATCTCACTGCACTCTGAGAGTGGAGCAAAGTGCCTTGAGATCATCAGCCACACAGAGATCTGTTCATTTCCCTAATTCTTTCTTAGGCTGCTAGCTGACATCAGTGAGTTAGAGGACTTTCCCAAGTTTTGTTTTCAAGAAGCAGTTGCCAGAAGAGTCACACACAAGCCCCACACCTGCACAGATTCTTCCTACTAGCACCACCAGTGCTGAGCACCTCTCTGCACAGGTATTGTAATAGAATATGCCATTCAGCTCAGCCCTACAACTCAGACTACATCCAGATCAGACTGCAACTATCAAAGGTACAACCATTTTACAGGAGAACAACATTTCTTCTGCTTTATTCTAGGCTAAACAACAGCTTGGGCTTGCTCTCCCCACAGAGATTATCACACAGTATCCCTAGGATCCACCACTGTCCTACCCCAGGCTGAACCTTTAGCCCACTTTGTCATAACCAGATAAACTGTTAAAAAGACATCCTGATATGGTTATGTATTCATGGTTACATTTCTGAAACTGGGCATTTATGAGAACAATCATTCAAAACTAAAATTTGGTGACTTCTGCATATCAATTGATATGCAGTATTGAGACAGTGGAAATGTCCACTTCCTAATAGCTCAAACTCATATCTTGGTGATCTCCTTTATAATTTTCTCAATGTCACTTCCACTGTTACCCAACATAAAAGATACCAAACTATTACAGAACTAGTCAGGTACTGGATTCAGTGATTCATGAATCTTCCTCAAAAAGAAAAGATACCATAAATTACTCGGTTTAAATATTCCTAAAAACCTCAAAATCTTCCTGAATGTAAAAATTACAGACTAACAGAGTCGATATTTTCTATGCTATCACTAATTTCAACACTCAAAACACAGATATGAATAAGCATTGAATTGTCAAATCTCCTAAGCAATACTTACCATCAAATAGAAACAATCAGATAAATCATTCCCTGTTATTAAGAATGATCATTTTGTAAGGCACAATGACCTGTCACTGTAGAAATATATCTCAGAACAGGAATGGACCAATTAAGGAACAATCTGTGCCAAACACTGATAGGAGGGATAGTATGTTTGCTTATCCATTCTCACATTGCTATATCCTCCAGCAAATATAAAAAACTTGCTTAACCACTGTGACTTACTCCTAAAAGTAACAGTGGATGAAAGACTTTAGGTTGACTAAAGACTTTAAAATCTCGGCAGCATTGCAACAGACATCTCCAAGAAGTTAATGTCCTTGACATACTTCTTAGAAGTGATCTAAAATTTCCTGTTAGAAGACAACACCTGACTACCCAAGAAAAAGAATACAATGGAAGCTACTCCAGAACTATCTGAACATGAAAGAAAAGTAGCAGGTGAAAGTTCTCTGTCATTTTCTGCCATCCAAAAAAAAATCTAAAACTCTGAGCAGAAAAACAATGCAGAACATTGAGTCACAGATATTCACAGAAATGATATGTCCCATTTTAGACACATGTCACACTGGTAGAAAGAGAGACTAAATTATCATGGGATTAGACTACAATAATTCATCTAATTGAATATTAAAACCTAATTAATTTATAGAAGTTAAATGTTAGCCTTTTTACATAAATAAATAATTCTGAAAGTTTTATAGCACTATCAAATTAAGTACTTTTCCTGAACTACATTGTCTTGAACTAAAAAAGCCCAGTTGTTATGTAATTAGGGTCTTATGTAAAAAAAAAAAATTGACATATGCATATGTATATTTCAAAATGTATCTAGCATTTGCTTACATACCCTGCAGTTCTAAAATAAGACTGGGTCAAAACAGTTAAGCACTTGCTGTTCATTCTCTAAATCTCCATGAAAATGGGATGGCAGTTTAGCACTCAGTTAATCCACAGGCTGGACTACATGGACAGATGCTCCCAGATGTTAAACAGTTTAATATGTCATGTCTTTCCAGAGAAAAAAACGTAGCCTGGAAAAGTTCATTTATTTTCAAAATTAACACTTCTACGTTGCATTTCTTTTTTTCTCCAGTAAAAGTACAATATTCAACCAGCTCAATAAACCTACGAGAACAATCAGACCATGAACATTACCATCACCCATACCATGAGGGCAGCAGGGAACACACTCTGGAGTGAGGCTCTTCATGAACCAATTTCAGTTTCTTATATAAACTCAGAATATAAATCAACAAAATCTTATTCAACAACTGTTTAACCAACTTTGGCTGTACATTTTTGGTAATGGACATAAATTAAAGTGTGTCTAGAGTAACCTTACCGAATTTTCTCTTTTTCTATCTGGATCTCACCTCTTCCTTTACAAATTATATTTACTTTACACATCTTCATACCAACTCTCATAATTAATTTAATACTATTTACAGTATTATTATACTTTACTGCTTTTATTTCCTTGTGCCATGCTTAACTCATATTGAATGCAAACAGCATTTGTAGATTATATCTATCTCGGTCAATTTGTCAGTTTAAACAAGTTTGTACCTGCTTGATTGAATTTTTATTCAAGAAATATTTCCCTCAATAACAGAGTAAAATAATACAATCTGTTCCCTAGTAATGTACTTAAAACATAAGAGGGCCTTTCTTTTCCAATAACTAATTTCAGATTTTTTATGCTGTGCAATAAACCCAGTGGAAGCAGCCCCTGGGGATCCCAGCCAGGAAGGCAAATTTTCTGTCATGGAATTTGCCCAAAGAACAGGTCATCTCCCTCATGGCCACTAATTTTGGAATTGTTGCTTGACAATCAAAGTATCTCTATTCCTCATCCACTACCAGGATGTAGAAAAACCGATGAAAGCATTTTCCAAACAATTTTCCTCTACACTTAGGCTTGATCTAAAATCTCTGATCTCTGATCTGTTATATCATTCCCACAGCAGAGCACCTCTATATTTACACCAGTTTAAATGAAATCAGAATGCACCTTTATGAAGGCAATGCCAGCTAAGACAAGAACTGACTCAGAAAATGATTACCATTTTGACAAAATGTTGCCAAAGTTGGTGTCTGTGTTAAAGTTCCGAAAATGTGTCTCAAGCAAGTTCACTCCCTCCCTGTTTCTACATAAAGCTACTCATCCGTCATCCTATGCACTTTTCACACCTGCATGCAACCTTACCCTGGAAGTAAGGAATTATTCTTCTCTTGGGTAATGAATATAATGGGTGTCTCTCAAATCACTAACAAGTTTGCACTCATGAAAATTTTAAAAGTCACATCCTTTCTTTCATCTGAAGAAAGGTGATTACTACTACTGAACTTTTCACTAGTACTCTTAGTGGGGAGCAAATACGACAGATAGTGGCCTATGTTCTGCACTGTTTCCACAGAGTAGCCCTGTGCACAGTATTTGTGCCATCAACAATATTAATACTCCATGCAGGACAAAGATCAATAACACTGTGATGGCCTAATGACTGCTGTCTTGAAAACATTTCACTTTATTTTGCCCTGCTAATGACATAGAGTCAAATATATAAAGCAGAAGCAGTCTGAAACCTCTGTTTTACAGAATTACATAATATACAGAATATAGAGAAATAAAAGAACTGCTCTATTTTACCTTTTTTACTTTGTACACTAATTTATGCGTCCATTACACAAGAGAGAAAAATCAAACCAACCTGAGAACACAAACAATTTACAGGAAATTTTTATCCTAAATGCTGATTATTGTTGGAACCTCATGACAGATAAGAATTTGTCCAGTCTCTAATAATAGCATCTGCTCAGCAATCTCATAGCTAAGGAAGCAATGACAATTCATGAATGTCCCAACAGAAAATCAGGAGCATATAGAGGTGTGCTGTCACTAAAAGCAGAAACCAAAAATATGACTTCCCAGCAACGATCAGGTTTCTTTTACAGCCACAGGTGTGTGTACCAAACAAGCCTTGTAGGAAGCCAAAATCACAGAATAATTGAGGTAGGAAAGAGCATCTGGTGTCTCTCAGTCCAACCCCTGCCCAAAACAGGTCTGTTTGATCAGGCTGCTCAGGGCTACATCCCAGTGAGTCTTAAACACCTCCAAGGACAGAATAACATAACTGCTCTGTGCATCTTGCTCCAGTATTTGACCACTGTGGTTGTGAAAAAAACATACAGGAACTATGGTTCTCTCACATATCAATGACTGAGGAACATAGAAATTCATAATGGAAAACAAATACTTTGTTTTACAGTCCAGTACAAGCAAAATGAAGTGTTATTACAAGTAGAATTTATCAATTACCAGTTTTAATTGTAAGTGGTCTAAAAAGAGGGTTTGTGCTGTATTCAGGACTTCCAACCAAGTGAAGGAGCTAACAAGTACAGTGTAAGAACAAAGCACAGTACAATTGTCGTTAAGTACAGTGGTACAATGACATCCAAACTCTTCTGAATTATA